TGGAAGGGGTGGGGGGGTGGGGGTAGGAGGACAAAGAAAATTAAACTAAGGCCAATTCCAAATTCTTCTTTTCCTGGTTATGATTGTGGAGATGATCTTTTCACTTCACCTGTCGGCTGTGACCTGACACGCTAATGTGTAGACTGATACATTTTTCTGTGAGTGTCCACTCTGACCCTGGGTCAGCCTCACATTTTCTCCGTCTCAGTGGAACGAGGGAGTCAGCGATGCGCATCACGTACTTCCTCTTTCTCAGTCTTTACTCTTTGGCAGAGACATAAGCCAAGAATAACACATGACAAAGGCAAACAACGGAGGCAGAGATGAAGGAGAGCTCTGATGAATCAGCAGGTAAATCAGTGACTGGAGTCACGCTAACCTGCTGCACTGGGACCCGGATGTTTATTTTAGCATCTGTGATTGAACGTCTATATTGGAGAACCAATGAAAAGGAAGCTGCTCCGATGCGTTAGCTTCATGCTAATTGTTCTGCTCTGAACACACGTTCTCTCCAAGCTCCTGGAATAATGAATGTGCCGTGAAGCTTTTATTATCGTGTGATTAATGCGGGCCGGTTCAGCCGAGTGAACGGATTTCAATATGGGAGGAACAGTGGAGGCAGTAAGGTGGACGGAGGCTCAGATTTGATCAATAAAAGTGTAAGACAGAGGGAGAAAATAATTACACATGGCCTGGATCTGGACCACTGGAGAACCACCGGATCCCACGGCGCTCCCCCATCACTGCCGAGATGATCACCTGTACCTCGGAGGTGAGCACGTGTGCATCCCACGGCCAAATCCCAAGCTTCTAGTTACTGTAGCTGGTCTCATTCTGATGTTAAATCATCTGCTGTTATTGGCCTCTCCGGCGGTCAAAGCCGGGGGAGCTAGGAAACCTCTCGGCAGCTCACTGCACCTCTGTGACTGGCAATGGTTGGTTGGGTTAGGGGGCGGGGCTAAAGGGCTGCAGTCATAAATCTCTCAAAGTCAGCGCAGGAAGTACAGTACATGAAGGGGTGAAATCCTCCTCACCTGCCCCTCCCCCACTTGTCAGTGCCTCCTCGTTGCTCTGGATGCTTTGCCCCCCCCACCCCTCTGACTCTCCATTCATTTTTTATGCTTAATAACATCTGAGAGTTCCGTGTCCATCAATCTGTCAGTGTCTGCGTCACACGTTCCCGAGCGAACACACACACACACACACACACACACACACACACACTTCCTCCACAGCAGTAACTGAAGTGCATTTAGGAGAATGGAGAATAAATTAGCCCACATGCAGACCGCGTTCTGCGTGGGGGCTAAAAGTTAGTGCTGAACGAGCGCTGGGCTCTTCGTTACGGTTGATGGGACATGATACGGCTGATCTGAGGTCAGTTCACTTTGGTTTGGCATCATTTGATGGTAGAGCTAAGAGCTGCGTATCAGAACTTCCATCGCAGCTGTTTGGTAAAAATAATCTGAAGAGTAGGTGATACTTTTCTTCCCTCTTTCTATATATATTTATATATATTTTACTTGTTTGTATTTTAATTGTACTTTCAGGACACTTCAGAGGTGTCAAACTCTTTTTGGTTCAGGGGACAGATTCAGCCTGATTAGACGTCAAGTACAGTACCATCAGAAGTTTTTTTTTTTTTTTCACTCTTAACATTCATCAATCAGGCCATTTTGAACCTCTGATCGGGCCAGTCTTGGTCCACAGGCCATATGTTTGACACACCTGTTTCTTCCACTCCTCCAGACTCACATTCAGCTACCAAAACATTTATACTTAACCTTCTAATTATATATATTTTTTAAATCAAGTTCCATTTTGAAAGTGACCTAAATCAACAGATGACTCTGATGGTTTTTCTCCAACATTTTTCTTCACTGTACGACGTTTCATACTTTGAGAAATCAAGTGCTGAACTCTGAAGTTTGACAGAATGATACAGTAAGAGGACGGCAGCAATGGCCGTTTTTTTGGGGGGGGTTGATGAAGTAGATCGGGGAAGCAAAGGAGGAGGAGGAGGAGGAGGAAGATGGGAGGTGACCAGACCCATGCCCGCATCAAATTCTGACCAATCACAGAATAGTTGTTGGACGTCACATATAAAATACTTCAGTGCATCATTGAAAGACTAAAACAATTATTTTTACCCTTGACTGACAAAAAATCCAAGTTGGGTTTTTACTGCTTTTGAGAAGCCGTGTCACCACACCTGATGTTTTCATGTCCGTATCTAAAATTCTGAGAGAGAAACAACATAAACTATCAGAACAAAAGAACAAAACCTGAGAAACAATCTGTACAAACATCTGAGTGGAGACAGAGGAGAGGAGCACTGAGATACAAGGGAGCATCTTACACCCCCCCTCCTTCTCTCTGTCTCTCTCTCTCTCTCTCTCACTCTCACCCTCCCTCTCTTTCCTTTTTACACACACACACACACACACATTCACACATACATGCACAGACAGAGCCCCCCTCTAAATCAAGAGTAGACGGAGAGCGGCAGCAGAAGGAGCTGAGCAGCAGAGGAGAGGCAGGAGGCTCGCTGCTGACTGTATCGAACCAGGCAAGGAGTGCGCAGTCTTGGGGAGGAGAGCAGCTGTGAAATGCCTGGAAGGGAGCCTGGCAGCCACTCCTG